ATAAAAACAGTTTTATCAGACAAATTAAAAATTCATCCATAGAAAATGTAGAAAAAATAATTGCGGTTTTTTTGAGCTATAGAACTCCTAGAAATGTCAAAAACTGAAAGAGGAGATACATTTTTTCTGTAAAAAACTTTCAAAATGACCATTTTTGACATTTTTCTCTTCCGGAAAACGACCATACATGAATCTATGACCACTAATTAATTTTTTAAAAATCATTTGAGTCATCTTAGAACTCCACAAAATCAGATAAAAAATTCTGAAATTATGGTTTTAGACCTGCAATTGTGATCGCGCCAAACTTTTTTTCTGTAGATCAAAAATTAATTTGCAGTTCGGAATTGTTCTGTGGGAGAGCGTGCAGTTTTTAAACTTCAAGATTTTTTTGTTAATTTCAGAATGCGAACTCTTTTAATCTTTGTTTCGTTGTGCGCTGTACTGTGCTTTACTGCTCCGGTATCAGAACAAGTGAGTGATCCTTTTATAGTAGCCTTAACACAAATTACTGTATTTCCTCTAATCCGTCAACTTTGAGCTTATTTATCTCGATTCAAGTGTGAGATATCAAAAATGGGTCAACTTATAAGTTTTTTATCATAGCATTTTATCAGTTGAGAACTTTTTGAAATCCTTCACAGTAATCGAGATAATTTACCTCAATGTTGACGGTTCGGTTCAACTTCTATTCGAGGAAACATGGCATACGTACAGAATTCTTCCCTAAATAACATCTTCCAGGTTTCTGGACTCCGAGCTAAACGCAATCTTGAAGAAGCAGCTAGTAGTGGAGCCGAGGCAGTCGGTTAGTTCTTTTCTTTTTTGACTTAAATTAAAGTCCATTAAATAATGTCTATTTCACCCTCAACAGTTTCACTGTTACATACAAAACACAAAGTAAATGTCCCTATTTGAAACATCGTCTCTGGAAAAATATCGTGGCTCAAAATGAGGCTTAACCATTTCTCTGTGTGTTTTTGACTAAAAATTTCTAACATTCAGTTCATATGCTACAACCTGTCAAAACTTATGTGTACACTGCGACTGGAGAATTCGTGACTCAATTAGGTTTGCGGTGATGTTGATTCAGATTGACACATGTGAACTTTAATTGTATGAAACGTGGATTTGGATATGGATCATTGTTTTTTTTTGGTTCGAAAGATCAGTTCTACATGTATAAACTTCTATTTATGTTATGTTTCCCCTAACTAATATAAATAACTCATTTATCCGAATAGTCAGATAGTTTGCAGCAGAGAAACATACTCTTCGAGTAGCAGCTAGACTAGAAACTCAAACCGATAGATTGAAGCGTCAGCAGAGTGCCGAGGAACGCACTCGCGCCGAAGCCGACGCTCGTCGTCGTGAACGCTGTCGCAACCGCCGTCCCCCACAGCCAACCCCCGGACCCCCACCACCAAGAAACAACTGTCTTCCCCCACCGGGACCCCCACCTCCATGTCAACAACAGTACCAACCACCATCCCCATGCCAACAAAGCCAACCCCAACCACCACAACCACAGCCACAGAGAACTGGAGGATGCTTGCCATCTCCAAGAGGTTATGAGAATCAACCACAACCACAACAACAGTACCCTCAACCTCAGCAACAGCGTGGTGGATGTACTTACAGTCAACCACAACCACAACCCCAACCTCAACCCCCATGTTATCAGCCTCAGCCAGAGCCTCCACGTCAAACTGGAGGATGTCTTCCAGGCCCTTATTACCCACCAAACACCATGCCCCCACCACAACCCCAACAACCATATCCACAACAAAGATCCGGCGGTTGCCGTCAAAGAGCCCCACAACCCCAACAACCCCAACCCCAATACCCGAGAACCAATGAGTTCCGTGCCCCAACTGTTGAATGTCATGGAAATGGACAAGATCCATGCAATTCCCAACCACAACAAGAGGATCCATGCGTCGGGAAAGTGAACATCGTTTCAGTTGACGCGGCGGGAAAAGTTGATCATTATTTGTATGAGACCAAGAAGCAAGCAGGAGATGTCATTGGTGAGAGATATATGTGCCACGTGGCAATTAGTGACTGTGTGACTGTGATTTGTTGATTTGTGAAGTGTCGAGTTCCTTATACTAGATGTAATACCCGAAATCTAGATTCTTAATTTTTGAGTTTTTCAAGCATTTCCCTTGGTTGTGTTCTTTAGAAGAGTGATAGTTTTAATAAGATTAGCCAAAGCCAGAAATAGATCTTATCTAGAAAATTTTGTGTGAAGATTCTAGGTAGTAGTCCGATTACTCTATTTAAAGAAAACTGAAGTTTAAATTGAAGCAACTGTATCGTCGGTCGTAAAAGAGCAATTCGAAGAAGCGAAACGAAAATTCAGTGAGTAAAGTAAATAGCGCTAGACATTTCCTTTTTACTTTTTTTCATCAATTTTCTGTTCGTTTCGTTATGCTGTCCATTTTCCGCGTCGTCATTCAATTACTGTTTTCTATGTCTTTCTTTGTTTTTTGTTTTTTTTTAAATATTTGAATTTCAATGCAAAAATTTAGGTAATTCTGCTAATCAGGCATCTGAAACTGCTCAAGGAATGCACTGGGCCGGAGATAGAGCTAGTATGTTTGGAAGAATAGAATTGTAGAAGAAATTAAAACCACTTTAGGAGAAGCTGGATCGACACTGAATGAGGCTGCACATGATGGATATGAACATGGACGTGATGGAGTTGCTGATATGAGAGAGAAACTTGAAGAGACTGGACATGAGATCGAGGGTGAGGAGCAGAAATAATTCTCTACAGAACTATGAGATATACAAATCGTATTTTCTAGTTCATTTCTGGCCATTTTGACTATTTTCAGAAGACTGGAGCTCGGCTGTCAAATTTCCGATCACTGTCAAAATTATGGAGGGTGTAAAACAGACCTAGATGAAAAACTTTGCATTCACATAATTTTTTCGAAAACCTAGTTTTTCAGATATTTGCCGAATTCTGAAAGACATCTGTTTTTGGCTTGCTCTTGTATTGAAAACGTGAAAACAGGTGTCAAATAATTCTTTTCTAAAATTCTAAAATTCTAAAATTCTAAAATTCTAAAATTCTAAAATTCTAAAATTCTAAAATTCTAAAATTCTAAAATTCTAAAATTCTAAAATTCTAAAATTTTAAAATTTTAAAATTCTAAAATTCTAAAGTTCTAAAATTCTAAAATTCTAAAATTCTAAAAACAAGGAGTTTTCAAAAAATTCTTTAGATGCAAAGTTTTCAATCTAGGCCTGTTTCACACCCTTTAAAATTTTTAAAGTGGTCGGAATCTTGACAGCCAAGCTCCAGACTCCTTTATAATGGTCAAAGTGACCTACAATAAAAAAATAAAAAAATTTTTTGTTTATCTTATTGACCCATACTGTTACTATTCTAGTTCTAACTCTTTTTTTTTAATTTCTGCCTTCTTCCAGAAGCCACCGTCGAAGGATCCAGTTAGTTATATTTTCCCTTGTTTCTTTTGAATTTTCCCCCTATTTATATCCACTTTTCCAATTTTTGTTTCATTTTTTTTGTTTTCTTATCCTGCATGATTATAATTTCTTCTTCCACCTCTTCTTCTTATTTTCTTTTTATGACTTTTCTAGAATCAGGGATTTTGCATGCTTACACTTTATTCCTAGGTATTACCAATATAGGAAACCTATTTTTTTCTGTATGCATCGAATGAAGTTAATTGTTTCTTTTATTGGTTTTGATTCCGCTTTGAAGACATTTTTGATACATATTTAGAGGGTGAAATAGAGCCTAGAAACAAGATTTGTTTGGAATTTTTTTCAATTTTTTGAACAAAGTTAAAATTCTCAGAAGCCGCAGCTAGAAAGGGTGATGAAGCGATAGACGCCGCAGCAACAAAAGCTGAAGAAACAAAAGAAGCTGCAAAGGATACTGCCAGTAAGTTTAGGAGTAGATTCTTCTGGAATTCTAGTTCAATTCTCGCAGACTCTGCAATTGAGAAAACAAAGCATGGAGCTGGAGTTGTCTACGATACTGCCGCCGAAGGAGCAAGTATGCTTGAGCATTTTTTTCAGTTTCTAGGTCTTCTGTTACAGGTAACATGGCTCAGTCAATGCATGATGCTGGAAAATCTGCTGGAGATGCTTTCGTTGGAGGGGCTGGTATGTTCGATAGAGCATGAAAAATGCATCCTTTTAGTTGTCACTTGACCTATCATTCCAAGACTCTCGAATAGGAATTAATTTCAGAAGCTGCCGGAGAAGCAGTCAGAGATGGAGCCGGATGGGTTGGAGAAAAGTTTCAACATGGAGCCGCAGTCGTTGTCGATGGAGCTAGTAAGTTGTCTTTGATTTAGTATTGCTACGGTTACGTTTGGGAGAAGAAAGGAAGATGAGTGCTAAAAGAGGATTCTATAAGGAAAATGAATCCACTTCTAGCCCCAAAAAATGTTTTCAGAATCTGTTGGACAAGGGGCCGCTGATGGAGCCACTGTTCTTGGTGAAAACGTTGCCTACGGAGTTGGAGCTGTTTATGGAGGAGCTAGTGAGTTCACAATTACACATTGAAGCTGTATAAGAAACGTTTTATTCTTCAGAATACGCCGGAGGAAAGCTCATTAACGGAACCGCGCAGGGAGCCGGAATTGTTGCTGGTGGAGTTGGTAAGTTTAAGATCGAGAGCGCATTGGGTATCTTTTAAAACTTCAGTGGGCGCTGGAGAGGCTGCGGTTGATGGAGCTAAGGCTGCTGGAAACGCTGTTGTTGATGGAGCATGTATGACTTATTTTTAGTTCTCTATGTCATTACCTAATTTCTACAGTAACCGTCGGAAATAAGACCAAGGAAGGAATGCGTTTCGTAGGAGAAAACGTCGCTCACGGAGCCGGAGTTGTTGCAGGTGGAGCTGGTAAGTTTAAGGTCGATAACGCTGTGGAACCTTTTGAAACTTCAGTGGGTGCTGGAGAAGCTGTCGTTGATGGAGCCAAAGCTGCAGGGGACGCTGTTGTCGATGGAGCTCGTATGCACTCTTTTAAGTTCTCTCAGTTGTTAATCTTAATTTTTAGTGACTGTCGGAAACAAGACCAAGGAAGGAGTAAGATTCGTCGGTGACAATGTTGCTCACGGAGCTGGTGTTGTGGCTGGTGGAGCTGGTAAGTTAAAAATCGATAGGAGCTCGAGAACCTTTTAAAAATTACAGTGGGCGCTGGAGAAGCTGCAGTTGATGGAGCAAGTTAGTCATTGAGTTCATGCATGATTCTTCTTGTATCTTAATTGTGTGATGTGATTGACCTTATCATTTTGCATGTGAATAAGCCATATTCACCGTAAACACTTTAATAGAAGGCCACCCCATACTTTCAGTTTGAGCTCAAATATCTCGGCTCTTTATCATAGTATCACCATCAACTTACCAGTTGACACATTTTCGATATCTCTTAAAGGTATATATGTAAAAGAGTGCAAATATTAGAGCGTTTACGGAATATGTTTTTTATTTATTTATGTTAAATTAAACTAGATTTAATTCTTGTAGCAGTACTTTTGTCTACTAACTGATAACAAATAGCATAGTTAAAACAGCTCCGCATTGTGATTAGTTAGATCGATGTATTTAAATTTTTCATCAATATTTTAATTACTAAAACTTCTACGAATCCCATTCTAGAATCCGTTGGAGAAACTGTCGTAGAGGGTGGCAAAACGGCAGTTGAGGAAACTAGTCAGTTTTAGATTTAATTAGATTATAAACTTGGTGATTCATTACAGAAGAAGGAGCAAATTATGTAGGAAACAAGACCTTAGAAGGCGCTGAAGCGGTTGCTGATGGCGCTAGTAAATTTGAAATTTCGAATTTTCAATTTAATATCATTTGTTTTTTCAGAATCTCTTGGAAGCACTGTGGTTGATGGAGTCGCTGCTGCTGGTGGAGCTGTTGTGGGTGGAGCCAGTAAGAAAAAAGCTTGAGTTCTACAAGATTTTGATGATCACATTTTCAGAGGCTGTCGGTAGCGGAATTGCTGATGGAGCCCGATTTGTTGGCGAGAATGTTGCTCACGGAGCTGGAGTTGTTGCTGGTGGAGCTGGTACGTTTACAAGGGACACTGTTTAGAAAAATTGCATTATTTCAGTGGCCGCTGGAGAAGCTGTTGTGATGGAGCTAGTAAGTTCATATACTTAGAAAATTTGAATTTCTTGTAAATTATGAATATCCCAAACCTGACCAAGGCTTCTAAGAATTTATTTAAATGTTCAAAAATGCAGTAGTCTACGTTTTTTCAGAAGCCGCTGGAGGAGCTGTAGTAGATGGAGCAGCCGCTGCTGGTGGAGCTGTCGTAGGAGGAGCGAAAGCAGTCGGAGGATTCGTGGCGGACACTTTCAATTCTGGAAGAGATGCTGCTGGAGATGCACTGAAATCTGCTGGATCTGCTGTCAAGGCATCAGAATAACAGACATAATATTTTTATGCTATGAAACCTTATCTCTATTTTCCAATTCCATAATATTTTTCTCACATCTTTTTGTACCTATTGTACTTATCAGCTGTAAATAAAGTTTCTGTAGATAATTAGTTGAAAATTTCAAATTAAGAAGATGGCAGTTTATTGAAAAGACATTCAACTGGAAAAAGTCTACTTGATATTTATGAACAAAGAGGTCGGAAGAAAGAAGATTAACAAAAAAATAATTTACACACTGATGGAATTCGATAAATATTAAGATTACAGTAGATCTAAATAAAGCAAAGAGACCATCATCATCGGAACGTTTACTGTAGTTTTCGGGACTTACAAAAAATTGGACTGAAAGAACTGTGAGGATGGAAGAGGAATCGGTTTACGGGATGAGGAGAGAGTAAAGCTTCAGAAGCAAAAAATAATCAAGGGTCAGATACCAAGATACACAGAAAATTGATCGATGTTTTTCACTGGGGTTCGATTGGGGGGACAACGGGTTAATTAAGAAGTTTTGTAGTGACACTACAGTAATCTCTAGAGCTGATCAATATGGTCGACAAGTTTTTCCAGCATTGTCTCTTGATTGACAGCCAATGGAAGTAGTTGCATGTCGGGTGTATGACGAATATAATCAGAAATAATGGATAAATTTGAGGCAACAAATCGAACTTGTTGAACTAATGGTTGAGAGGTGGTTGGTTGAGAAACTGTCATCTGTAGATGAGTTTGGACATGTGGTCGTGTTGAAAAGTAGGTGAAGATGTTGGTGACAACGGAAAGCAGAGAGATAAGCTCATCCTGAAATGGTAGGTTGAAGTTTTTGGAGTTAGATTGGCACAGCGGGTTATGGGGAAACTTAGAAACGAATGACTTGAATCTCAGAATACTTTAACCTAATCCTGCATTTGTATAAAAAACTGTTAGTCACTACTACTAGAGATTATGATACTAAACGAAAAATCTACGAAATAACTGATAGAAGTTAATTTCTCAAAAGTCTCTGGGGGTTAGTCTTACATGGGGAAACGAGTCATTTCCAATGTAATGAATGAACGAAGCAATTGCATCACACGTGTCGTTGTCCATTGAAGATGAAGCTGATGATGTGTCATCTTCGATCTGAAATTTGTACTTTCCAGAAGATTCTATAATTGAAAAACCAGTTGTATTATCACCTCTACGTTCTCTTCCTCTTCCAGTTCTTCCTCCAATAATTCTCCCTCTTCATCTGCAATATGTGGTTCAGCCGTTTGTGATTCGTTTACTGAATTATCTTCGTATGATGATGTGGCAGAGGATGACGTCATCACTTGGTCAGGGATACTGAAAAAGAAGGATTGTACTTTGAATACCGGGAAAAGAGTTCCAGGAAAATGAAGAGGTCGAATTTGATGAAAGGAGTCTTGAGATTCAAACAAAGACAATAAATTTTCATTGGGGAGAACTGAGAAGAAGGCCGGGAAGAGAGGAGGACAGGGAAACGAACAACGTACCAGACTTTCGGAGACAAATTGATTTGACTATGTATTTGGAAAAGACTCGGATTAATTTTAAACTGATTGGAATGATGCTCCGGGTTTTCACTTTCTTCTCAAAACGTTGAATTCGAACTGCAACCGGTGGCACTTCATTTTTCCTCTTACAGGCACGTAACTACCCGGACTAAAATTTGGAATGTCCTCCAATTTTAGTGAAGTGTTGTAATGGGTTCAAAGTTGGAGTTCAAAAATTCAAATAACTCATCAGTAAACTGTCCAAATTTCAAATTATTTGATCAATTTTGAGCTGAGTTATCGTTTTTCAATGTTGCTTCATCTCAAATCAGACATTACATCTTTGGACTATCATAACTAAACCTAGACTCGAGGAATCGTTTTGAAAGTTACAGTAGCTTTGAATCAAACGTAAAGTTAAGTAAACGTAAAATTATATTGTTAACAATTTTCTTGCATCAAAGATACCTATGTCTAGAGATATACCCGTTTTTATCAGTCCGGGTAATTTTGCGCCCCCTGTAATAAATGTATATTCTCTTTCTACGTTGAAACGATATCTTGCTCATCCGGGGCTAATGTTCGATACCTGCTGCTCCTACTAGAACATTCCTAAGCCCTAAATTTCAGTTAACTACAGTACCCTCTCTCCCTATTCCCAATACAAACTCCCGTTCTTCCCTTCTCTTCCATCGAATTTTCCCCACATTACCAATTCTCTTTGTTTCAAAAATAATCGTCCGTCGGCATGTAAATGTGTCTGTCTTGTTGTTCAAATTCTCGCCCCAACCCGAAAACCCATCAATCGTTTTGGGTTGAGACATCCTAACCCATAGGACACCTTCCTCTCGGCGGGAGACCCTGTTTGTGCCATTTATCACAATTTAATAGGAGAAAATTGCAAAGATATAGGTCAATTTAAGGATGGTTTCAAAGGCAATCAGAGCATTGTTTGAATAAGGACACTGAGACATACCTTCCGGATGAACTCATGTTGTTGAATATTGCTCCAATTTGAAGCTTCATGTGATCCAACAACTGAGGAACGATAGTGGCTTGGAAGATGTCACCACTGGGCAGATGGTAATCGGGGAGCAGAAATTTGAAAAGGGATCGGAATCCAGGTCGATCAATAACATGAGAGGGCTGTTGATCAAGCAGTAGCATTAGAGCAATCTGAAAATTAACGGAATATTGAGAGGCAGTGAGACTAATCTGAAATTACCTGCATATGAATTTTATGATCATTTTCTACTTTCTTCTCGTGTTTCTTATCCACAAACGAGGCGATACTTGAGAAAGCAGATGATAAGTTTGCAGATTTCGGAGAAAGCAACATGGTGTTTCCACTTAAATCGGTTGGACGATGAATTTCCGTTGGACACTTCTGCTCAATCTCCTCTTCTTCTACTTCTGTTGCTTCAATTTTGATATTTTGCATTTTGAACATTGGATTCTGATTCTGACACTGATTCTGGCTTTGGCTCAAGTTCAGAATTGTTGATGTAGGTGTTTGAGGAGCAGTAGGATTGATGGCGACTGGAGCAGGTAGTCCTATGAGGGGATTCGTTGAGAAATGAGAAGAGGACGCAGATGATGCAGTATCAGAAGCGGATGAAGATGCAGACGGAGACTTCTGGGATTCTGAAGCTGGCCTCTCTTTCTTGACAACCATTGGATGGTTCTCGATTCCGTTGCTGATCACTTTTTCGTTCATCTCTCGCAGTAGTTTTGCGCGTGCTTTCTCTTCTGAAAACAAGAACCTTGAATCATATTCCCATTAATACGAATTCAGAGCAAATTTTCAATTTTAATTTTCTGGCGATGTTCCAGATGGTTCTTCCATCCATTCCCCCCCCTGAACGCGCATCCTTGAGAAGCCTTGAGAAATTAAATATCGGTAATTAAGATCCAGATAACGGGGAAGCGAGAAAGGTTGAAACGGAATGAAGATTCTCTTGGTGGATAAGAGGAAGAACATCATGCAGTATGGCACCAGATGGTTTGAATTCGAAAAGGAACTTGTTTTTGGAATGGTATTCAGATCATAGGACACCGTATTTTGAAGGTGTCAGTTTTAAAAAGGTTATTCTGAATTCAGAATTGCTTGTACTACGGTATTGGTGTATTCAACAACAATGTCTTCCAAGAATAACGAGCCATGGAGTCCCCCACACTACCAACTTTCAGCTCAATTATCTCGATTACTGTAAAAGATATCAAAAATGTGTCAACTCGAAGTTAAACATAAGAGATAACTTCTATTACAAGTTTTACGGTAATGTGGACTCACAGTAATATGATATTGATGTGAGGCTGCCGCTCTATTAGAGAGCATAGAGTATATGACTAAATCTAGACCCTTCCAAATCAAGAAAACCGTCAAAGATGCTTTAATCATTGTAGGCTCGTATACCAAAACACCTGTAATAGATGGGCCCTTCTATCTTTTAACTTTAGGACAATTTATCTCGATTCCTGGCAGAGACACATAAAAGTTGTCAACTAATGACTTGTTCATCATAATATCAGAAGCATTTTATCAGTTGGCACATTTCTGATATCTTGCATAGGATTCAGGAAAATTAAGCTCAAAGTTAGCGGTTTGGGTAAGCTATCAGGGAAAATGCGTTATTACAGTAGCCCGTGGTTTATAACAGAAGCCTAAAGTTTAGATCTCTCAGACTTGACAGCATGGGGGTCCGTCTATTACAGGTAGTTAACTTCGTTATTTTAGCAGACCGAACGTTCTCTGCTTCCCCACACCTAGTATTTTCTCACAAGTTTTTTTGGTGTCATTTCTCAAATCGGTGTCTTTTCTGCCCATCGCGCAATTCGTCTACAAAGCGCTCCGGCTATCTATTGCGCAACCAGCTTCTTCTTCTTCGAAAACATAATGCAAAAGAGAGATTTTTCTTTTTTCTACCGTGTTGTTATGTCTGTCTTAGTCGCTGACCACCGTCCTGTAAGATGAGAATAACTGGACGAACCAGTTTCTTCTTCCTCCCCCCTTCATTTTCTTCGTTTTTCAGTCGGTGGGGGTTCTGGAGACTGGCATCTAGCCAGACAGACATATGTACATAAATATAAATCGTTGCGCAACCTCTTCTGAACTGAGATATCCGATCGAAAGGGAAATAATCGAATATAGATCAAAGCTTGAACTCTTGAGAAAATCTATGTGGACCCCGACTTACCCATTTTGACAATCATACTGTTTTGACGAGCTTCCTGAACCAGTTGATACTCTTGCACGTGACAGCTTCTCAGGTGACGAATCATTCCAGTAGTGCTGAAAGATCAGAGATCTCAGATTATCTTTTTCCCCGTTCTGAGAAGATCCCAATTTTCCCAAAACTTTCAGAATTTACATATTGTTTTGACACCTGTTCGGACCACCAACTAAGTAATAAAACAAAAGCTTCAGATGAAAAACAGCAAAAATTGATACGAGTAGGTGAGACGCTCGACTGATTTTGAATGGGAGTTCGGACAATGAGTCTTTTCGAATTCCGGCGAAAAAAAAGAGGAAATAACGAATTGTTAATCAGTGTTTTTGAAGCGGTGTTCAAGACTTCTGAAGTCGAAAACATGTTTATTTTGGAGCAGAGGTACTGTAGCTGGAGTCCAGCTTGACTAGCGCTAGAACTAAAAAAGACGTAGCACAACCCATGGAAAGCTTTTTTCAGATTGTTTAAAGGTGAGGGAGATAGGAAAAAAAAATAACTGTCTCGAAATTTTGTTCATATACGCCTCTCGAGGAGTTGAACTTTCAGGACTAGTATTGAAGGTACGACTACCGACTGAGCCAAGCGGGCGAAGCTAGAACGCCCGCCCGATGGTGCGAGGCACGATAGCCACGCGCTGTGTGAACACGAAACACTGTACACAGTCCCTTCAGAATGCATACCGTAACCCCAAAAATCTCTGAAAAAACTCCTGTCCCTCTTCCTCTAAGAAAATGAGCTTTCTAGATCCTTACCTCGAATTAGTTGCCTTGATCTTCTTCCGACAAATTCGGCATTCTGCGGCTTGCTCAATAGTTGGAAGCTCATCGAAATACCTCCAGACTTTGGCAGTTTTGACTGTTGACCCTCCGACTCTTTTCCGTAATGGGTACTCCGTTGTCTGAAACAGATAAGGTTGAGTTGGATTATAATTATGCGCATATCAGGATATTAATGAGGTTCTCAAGCATACGGCGGTCGGAAACTGGTCCATGGCTATGGGTAGTTTGCCGTGTACCAAACAGTCCGTTCTTCCGGAAATAAGCTCGGCCAACCAGAAACTTCTGAAGTCGCTAGGCCGCCGAATCCTACCCATCCCAGAAGTACCCTAACTGAAAAGCAGCAACTCTGTGTTTGACAGCCTTGCTCAAGCTCTCAAAATTTTCGATATTCTGATAGACTTCTGATCTTAGAACCTCCTCCCTCATTCAAAAAATTTCCACTTACTCCACGAATCTTCCCTACATGCTGTGGATGTTGCTGATTCTGCATATGATGCCCGTAGTTATTCCTGGACAGTGGAGTACCAGGTCCATTCCCTGTAGATCCCATATCCCCATTCAATGCTTGTAACTGTGATTGGAGCAGTGACTGCAGTTGAGTGCTTCTGATTTGTGAGGCGAATGCGGCGAATGCAGACGGGAACGTCGCCAAAGAAACCGGCGGAGCATGTCCATTTGCTGCAGCTGCTGCTACCGTAGCTGGAGATTGCAGAAGTGCTGGCGGCAGAGCAATCAGCGGACCAAATGGACTCTGTGTCTGCATACCAGGATCTGCGGAACCTGGAATATATAGGAATAGGACACATAGTTGAATAAAAGACAAGTGAGAGAGTTAAGGTAAGCGGTGGAAGTGTTGAAATTCATCGGGTAGGTTAATCATGTTCGCTTTTTTTATCGAAAAAAATCGTTTAGACCGGACAACTGACACCCAAGAAGGAGGTGTGGATGAGTCTCGGCACGCGCCGATTCTTGCAAACAAAGAGATCGATAAGGATCTTTTTTGAAACGAAGGTGGTTGTATGGGAGGTGGTGCACTTTTAGATTTGTGTCTCGATTCCTTCTCAGTTTTTTATGACCCATGAAGAAAACGAAGACAAAAAAGAGCGATAGAGTTGCGAAGATCTTTTCAGAAACAGTCAAGACGGAAGGGATTAGGATTCAGTCTCAAGAGTTTATTGTGTTTCGAATGAATCCGGTAGAAAAAAAGTGAAATTGAAATTCGGATCAATAGAGCGGAACGTCCGCTGGTGGTCATCCCTCCGCTCGAGGCTTTATGGTGATGGGCGAGGGTGAACAAAAAAGGCGGAGTCAAGACATTGGTGACGGTAGAGGATGGGGAGGGGAGCGACGGGCGAACGATGGGTGATTGGTGTTGGAGAAGGAGGTGAGACAATAGAGAGCAAGAGGATGGGGGCGGAGTCAAGAGAGGAAAAAGAGTTCAGGAAGGGAATGGGTCAATGTGTGGGTGGCGATTAATGAGGTCAGAAAAGATGGGAAACGGTTGAGAGTTGACACGAGAGTTGGGACAAAGGAAATGAGCATGATAACTTTAGTTTCATACTGGATACTGAAGGAACCATGAAAAAAAGAACTATGAAAAGAGTAGTAGCTAGAGGTAGCCTACCTGGAAGATCTTAGAATGAACAGAAAACATGTCAAATTAAAAAGTAGGCTTAAAACTCTGGTAAAGGAACTCAGCAAACAAGTAGGCTTATCAGCTCAACTAGTAACTGTTTCAGGATCATGAGCAACATGTTACACTTGCAAAAGCAAAGAAAAACAGTCGCCTGTGTGGCATTTCCAAAAACTTCATAAATATCTTGAATATCTGCCATCAAGAAGACGCATCACAAGGATTGCGCATCCTTAGATACACACCGGTTGCGTCAGCGCTTCTAGACAAGGTGTGACGCGATCCGTGCCTCCCCAATCGGACGTCTTCTTTCCGCGCGGCGCGACACGAAAAAGAAGTCGCCCCCCGTCCTCTCCCTCGCGTTGCCATCTCATTTCTCTCGACTCCGCCTATCTTTCTTCCTTAATTTTCCAACTGACCATCGGCTTTTGGCAGCCAATGGGCAGATGGATAAACCGGCTTTTTGCCGTACCGTTCGGGGTCCCCTCTTCGTCTCAGACAAGAAACAACGTAAAAGTATACAGAAAGAAGAAAAAACGAAAGAAGAAGAAGAAGACGTGAACGTAGTAGAGGATGAGAGTGGAACATCTTCTGCTTATGTTGTTATTGTAGTAAAATAGCAAGAAGAAGCATGCATAATAAGTGGAAAAGAACTTGAAGACTATATGCCAGAATAAAGAGAAAAGCAATGGCAGGAAAATGCAAGATTGCCATGTGATCATTATATGATTATGAGATAGACAATGACCACAACATAAGTTTGTCTAAGCTTCACATCTACTGGTTTATTGGTCCAGAAGTTAAATCGTTATGGGTTAATGTAGAAATGTTGGGTGTTAATAGATGTTGGTCAGAGTTTGAAAAAAGAAACTAAGAAATCAGGAGCAATTATTGGGATCATTTCTAGAGTAATAAGATGAGACTGAAATTGATCCTTCACCCTTCTTCAATGCAAACTGGAAAAATGCACATTTCATGAGTCGATGTCCTCCTCGACAAGGCTATGCCACGACCGGCCACAATATTTTGGTTAGGTTATTTCTGGGATATGTATGATACGGCGGCCTAACGGTCCTAGAAGTTACTGGTTGGCTGCGCTTCTTTCCAAAAGAACGAACGATTTGGTCCACGGCAACCTACCCACAGAACGATCCGAGCAGCGCCCGGCAGCGGCTGGCCGCGGCTCTGTACCGGGAAATGCACAAGAGTCGAGGTCCGCCTAACCTAGATCGGGGTTGATTTGACGCAATCTGACTGAAACTGAATGGTGCTGTTGTGCTGACTATAGTCCGAAAGGGATCTCTCAAAACGAGCATCGAGGTAGAAGCTCCTGACTGAACTGTCCTCTGAAGCAGTTTTCAAAAGTTCAAATGGTCCCTCACTAAGCTACCCATGTGAGTCCATTCCTGTGCGTTTCTGCATGAATTGGCTTTTCCTTTTTTTTCCAAAAATATCATAAGTATGCTTCTCTTCTCTGTTTCATTTTTCTGATATCTTATCAATATCCGATCCTCTCCTCCTCCTCTTCATTTTTTCTTACCCTTGACGACGCCATCACGGCGGCGTTATTACGATTACGCAACTACGCAATTTTAGCTTTTTCCTGTAATTCTGCGTCTCCTCTCTCGAAACTCTTCTGACACACACACACCGTCAACGACGATGGCGTCGTTGTAATCGGTCGAACCAACAAAACCCGAATAATCGAATGGTAGTGGTCAACGGCTTCATAGTCTCTTCTGCTTCAGCTTCTACTCTCCGACTAAGCGTGTCGTAAAGTAATCTATCCCCTTCACGTTCGTCATCCGTAAAAATGTTGCGCCAGTTTCAGAAGACGGTGTTGCCCTTTTGGAAAAATACCGAAGATCGAGAAAACAGAGGTATTTAATCGCCTTCTCGGTCCCTCTTTTCATCCCCCGAGACAAGATCACCCAGGTGGAATCTCGTTTTTGCAATGATGGTAAAGTGCGAGAAGAAGCTAAAGAAAAGAATGAAGAAGCCTGGAGGAAAATTGACAAAAACGAGATCCACCCCACACACCTACGGAGGCTTTTTTATGCGAATTTCGAGACGGGATGAGACACTTTTTTATGTCGAAAAAATGAATGGACAATTGAATCAGACCAAAAAATGGATGCCAAACAGAACGAGAATCACAGAAAAATTCTTTGAAGAAGGGTTGATAGAGTACCGTAAAATGTGTATTGAAAGGGTCCTTTTAAAAGAACGGCCCTCCAAGAGGGACTTGGAAAAATCGAAGGTTCCTGAAATAGAAAGGCCGTCTGGAAGTACCTTCGAACAATAGAATTTTAATACAGGATTTACGGTAAAGTAGGAAAATTTCGTTGGAGCAGAACCTAAAGGTGACTCTCATTGGAAGAAAGATCAATAAGCTTGACACATTGGAAGCTTGAAACTGCTCCATCTGTTTAAAAACACCTAACCGTTTCCTAGGCAACCACAATCCTATCATTTGATTTCCAAACTCTGAGCGTCTTATTATCAGATCTTTCCGATCTTTAAACCACGATCAGATGCCATTCTACCTGATAGTTAAGTTCTTCCGATCCGTTTAACACCACTTCTCTGAACCCTCCGCTCTTCTTCCGATTTCTCGTAGACAACCACCACATCCCCTGACACAAAACTGGATATACGACGTGGGGGAGACATCGTAGATCCTCCGACGTCTTCAACAACCAAGAAAAAAAGAGAAGAAGCAAGACTCGATTGCGCAACAGGACAGAACCATCGCCCTCTTGGAAGAAGTGGGAGGAGTGGACACTCTATGCCGATGGTTGATCGAAGACGACTTGGCAGGAATCAGAAAAGAAGCCAAAGAAGTTGGAGAATCAAAGAAAAACGATGCAATACCAAACACACTAAGCAAAAAAAATGAGGATGAATGGAAAGGAAGAGGAGGACGCTCCTGTTAATGGTGATGATGGACGATGATGAGATGGATGAAAGGAACATCACAACATGACATAATCGAAGAAAAAAAAGAAGAGAAGGTGGAAAGAAGATAAGAACATAGTTGATTCTAGAAGTGTTTCAACGTATCAAATGGTCAGTGTGGATCTATTTTTCGGAGGTTAGCTAGCGAGGTTCTGCGAGCTCGGAATCAGATCGGAATTATAGAAAACACAAATCTACGTTTGCAAAAAGTTGAAGAAGAGTTGATAGAGTTAACTAGTATGTAGCCATCTGAAAACTGGCTACTGTAATAGATCCGATTCCTACCGTATTTCCTCTAACTGAATCCCACCCAAACCGTCAACTTTGAGCTGTACCATCTCAATTCCTGGAAAAGATATCAAAAATTGGTCAACTGGTAAAATATTGGTGTTATTATGATCGATAATTTGTCAGTTGACAAATTTTTGATATCACAGGAATCAAGATAATTAAGCTCAAAGTTAACGGGTTAGGTTTCATTAGAGGAAATACGGTAGATTCGATTCCTAAACTTCCTAATCATGCACAAAAACATTTTAAGTGGGAATCAGAGTAAGTAACTCTATAATAATGAAACAAGAAATGAAAAATCTGGAAACCCAAGACCTTGAATCCGATGTCACATCATCAAAAACATGGTGACCATCAAAGAGTGCGAATCCGAATCGAGTCGTAAATTAGTAGGTACTAGTAGACACCGAGACAAGAGAAGTATTCTGTTCTTCTAGAGATGGGAAGGGGGTGTCAAAGTGATGAATGGTACAAACAGGTGACATTTGGGGGCACTAACCACAACAAGACAGGCGCCGCGCTCCTCGAGAGACAGCTGTGCTGCGTGTGGTCCAACGTACCATTTTTCGATTCAGGAAATGCAACATGTATTCAGCCCAACAAGGATCGGGATGGATATTCAAAAAGTGTCATTTTCTTGAAGAACGCCACGGAAACGGGAGGAAAGAAGGGTATTTTGATACGGTACACAGCACATGTAGGTAATTAGCCTCGAAGAAAGAGAGAGGAAACGGGACAGGAAACGGATCGTTGCACAGACCGACAAGAATAACATTTTGATGAAAAAGAGGAAGAAGTTACTAGTTCAGTACAAAGTGGTCATGTTGCGGTATCTTACGGTCATTCGGTAAGCGGATTGAAAATGAGATTTTCAAAGGTTC